TTGGTGTCTGGAAAATACCTCAAATTACATAGCAATTAAGGCGTTTTATTTTCTGGTATGAAAACCAAATTGTGTAGAGAAGCATATGACTGATCCCTGAAGTTCAGTGATATTTATTGCAGGGCCTAATCAGATGAGCTGTCAGAAAGAGCTTGACAGATAGCACACACTTGTAATGTACATTGTAGGTTACTCACCTGATGTTTTGGAAGGTTTGTAGACGTTATTTTGGTTTTGGGGCATTCTGTATGAATGTTATGTCTTATTTGGCTTCAAACCAATTGTCTGGATTCATAGAAATGATTTGACATGGTTACAAAGGGAACAGATGCATCTGTCCATTGTCAACTAGGCTTTGGAATGCATTAGTTGCCCTACATAAAACTGCAATTCCTACACCCCGTGCCACCCGTCCCTCCACCAAAAGCTCTCTTGGTACAGAAAGGAGCATTGCTAGCAAAGTGAGTATTAGGGTCTCTGTTAATCTTCTCCCTGTTTATGCACTGTGACTATTTGAGTTATTGTGTAAAAAATGTTCCTTTATTAAGTTTTGCATGTGTCTGATAAAATAAACAGATTACTGAAGAGATATATAGTATTGTGTTGTCATAGGTTTTTTTTCTGCTTATCTGTGTTTTGTGGATTTGAATCTAATTTGGTTGGAGTAACCATATTTATAAATTACCTTTGTAGTGGCAGCTTTTGCAGGTGTGGGTAGAGTAAAGAGGGACTTTTTTATCTCTATTTGAGGTCTAGGGCAGACAAATTATGTTTTTAACCTTTTCACACACAAGTTACATGCCTGCCTAGGATTGCTGGGGCTTGTGGCACGCCAGTATATTCAAAATTCATGTAATTAGTATAAAATAAACATAATACATGAGCACACAAAATCCACCTATTTCTGAAAGCCCACTACAGTTTGTTAGAAAAAGTGTTTAAACAAGAGCATCTTGAAAACCAAGCTGTTAAAACAAATTAACAATATTAATATATATATATTTTTTTAAATAGCCTACAATTTGAACTATTAAATCAATTATTAAAAATGGAATGTATATGGTACACCTGTAACTCACTGATTGGCATAGGAGGGCAATAATCAGAGAAGCAACCAAGAGGTCAATAGCAACTCTGAAGAAACTGGAGAAGTACACACCTGGGAAGTAAGAAGACCTATAAATAGGACAACTATAACTTGGATGCGCCAAAAAGCTGGTGTTAGAATGGTCAAGTTCGAGAGCAAGAATGATGTATCCAAATATAGGGGTCATATGTGTGGTAGTTATTTAAAGGGATATTGTAGTGCCTCGGCACTTGGTCGAAGCACCAACCCCTCCTCAATGAGTGGGGTCTAATGAGCATTAGACCTCCCCATAGAAAAGCATTGAATCAATGCTTTCCTATGAGGAAAATCTGACGCTGGAGGTCCTCATGCAGAGTGTGAGGACGTCCAGCATCAGATAACAGACCAAAAGTCCATTACAATTTCTTCCCCCTCCCCTTCTTCTTCCCCCTTCCCTTTTTCTTCTTCCCCCTCCCCTTCTTCCCCCTCCCCTTCTTCCCCCTCCCCCCTTGCCTTTTTCTTCTTCCCCCTCCCATTTTTCTTCTTCCCCCTCCCCTTCTTCTTCCACTTGGGGGGAACCAAATCCAAGCTCTACTATTTTTGGCAATTTTGTTTGTACAACAATGTCTCCGTGACAGCAGAACACATCCCGGGTCTGGACAATTCGGGGGCGGATTGGAACTCGAGACATTTGAGAGACTCGGGAGATTGGCACTTGCACGTTTCAGTGTTTTGAGGCCTAGACAGGTTGTGGGGACTGTTCGTGATGGACTTGTTCGCGTTCTGCCTGAACACCCAGTTACCGGAATTTTACAGTTGGAGACCAGATCTGGCAGCGGTGGCGATGGACGCTTTTCTTCAGGAGTGGCCGACGGGTCGCCTGTATGCCTTTTCCCCGTTCAACATGAATGCTTGAGCAATCTCGAAGTTGGTTCGTCACGATTGCTCCCTGATGCTGATCACCCCTCTGTGGAGATCTCAGCCATGGTTCCCACGCCTGATGGAGTAGTCGATAGATTATCCACGGCTGATCCTGGGTTTTCAGGAACTCCTTCTGGATCCGGATGGGAACTCACACGGACTGGTATTACAGAACCAATTGCCTCTGATAGCGTGGCTCCTTTCAGGGGACTTTGGAATGTCCCAAACGTTCCACGAGCGACTCTCCTGCTCCTCAATAATGCCTGGTCCCCAGGTACAAGAGCAGCCTATCGCGCTTCATGAAGTTCCTGGTCTGGTTGGTGCATGGAACGGTCAATGGATCCCGTATCTGCCCCTCTCCATATGATCTTGGAGTTCCTCACACACTTGTTCGATTCGGGTAAGGCGTATCGTACTATCAACCTTTTCCGCTCAGCAATTTCAGCTGGACATAGAGGATTGGATGGTTCGCCAATAGGCAAACATCCTTTTGTGTGTCGTCTTCTCAAAAGGTATTTGCCGTGCTCGACCTCCCAGGACTCGTTTTTCTGCATTCTGGGATGTCAACGTGGTGTTACAATTTTTGTCGTCATGGTACCCGAACCAAGAATTGACACTTAAACAGATCTCTTCTAAGTTAGTGATGCTTCTCTGTTTAATTTCATGTAAAAGGGTGTCTGACGTCAGGGCCCTTGATTGGGACGCCATTACTTTTACCCGAGGGTATCTCGTTCAATATATCCAGAAGGACGGACCAAATCAGCATCCAAATCTTTTGTATATCCTAGATTCTCAGGGAATCAGGCATTATACCCGGTGGAGTATCTAAAGGTATATTTGGATATTAGACGGCCTCTTCGGTCTTTGGACTTGCATCCGTTATTCATATCATTTAGGTCTCCATACCGGCCCGTATCCACCCTGACTTTGGCTCGTTGGATATGCTGGCTTCTCTCTTTAGCTGGCATTGACACTTCTATCTTCACGTCCCACTCAGTACGTGGAGCCATGGCATCGAAAGCTTCTAGAGTCGGCTGTTGTCTGGAGGACATTCTGCGGGCTGCGGATTGGTCTCGGGAGTCGACCTTCCGTGACTTTTATTTCAGACCGATCAACCACATCGCATCTCAAGTGATAGCACAGCTTTAAACTTGTATAATAGGAGCCTCCGTGTCTTTAATAAAATTCCCAGATTTTACTATTAACATGATGTAAAGTCATGATTTTATTAAAGACACGGAGGCGAGTATTATTCCCACCCGCCCTCCCGGTGTTGGGTCATTTTTTGAGATGCGGTTGAATTTTCAGGTATGTTACTGTCTGGTCTGGTTCTTATGTCCTACATATTTATATGATTATACTATTGATGTTTTGGTTTTATATCATTATATACTAATAGTTTTTTCTATATTATAGGTTGAACTTCTAAGAAGCTGTTGACATTTTGCTTGTTAAGTCTTCAGTTTGGAGTTTGGTTATTACCATATTTCTCTCTCTCTTTTAGCTTGAAGTTTTCGTTTGGTTCCGGTTTTCCTACTCTTGCCGGGTGTGAGATCGTTTCGTGTTTTCCTGGTCTTCGGTTCTCGCAAGAAAGAGGGGGATTGTGGGAGACACAGGCCTTTTATAGCTAGTTCCTCTGTTATGTGATTGGTTGCCTGTGTGCCTATACAGTTTTTTCTTTCATTTTGATAATATTTATATTCCTCTATCTTTGCTGCTGAGGGAATAAAGAAAGAGTTATGCATAATACTCACCTCCATGTCTTTAATAAAACCATGACTTTACGTCATATTAATAGTAAAATCTGGGAATTAAGTCAACTCGGCCTTTCATATTTCTAGGATGGGTAAAAATATTATGTTTCAGTTTGGTAATATAATATGAAGTGTCCAAATATACAAAAAATAGACAAAAGCTAAATGTACTATTTCTTGTTTAAAGGAACACTATAGTCACCTAAATTTATTTAGCTAAATAAAGCAGCTTTAGTGTATAGATCATTCCCCTGCAATTTCACTGCTTAATTCACTGTCATTTAGGAGTTAAATCACTTTGTTTCTGTTTATGCAGCCCTAGCCACACCTCTCCTGGCTATGATTTACAGAGCCTGCATGAAAAAAAACAAAAAACTGGTTTCACTTTCAAACAGATGTAATCTACCTTAAATAATTGTATCTCAATCTCTAAATTCAACTTTAATCACATACAGGAGGCTCTTGCAGGGTCTAGCAAGCTATTAACATAGCAGGGGATAAGAAAATCTTAATTAAACAGAACTTGCAATAAAGAAAGCCTAAATAGGGCTCTCTTTACAGGAAGTGTTTATGGAAGGCTGTGCAAGTCACATGCAGGGAGGTGTGACTAGGGTTCATAAACAAAGGGATTTAACTCCTAAATGGCAGAGGATTGAGCAGTGAGGCTGCAGGGGCATGTTCTATACACCAAAACTGCTTCATTAAGCTAAAGTTGTTCAGGTGACTATAGTGTCCCTTTAATAATTGAATATTATTTTTGTATACTATATCAAAAATGTATCCTTCATTTTTCTTATGTGTTTTATTTAGTAATTGGTGATAATATCTTCCAATTTATAAAGTCATTAGTTTATTATTTACCAATTTAAATTCTTATCCATGCAAACAGCTATAAATTCAGCAAGCGCACTTAAGAGGATTAAGGTAAATACTCCACTTGTGCAACTGAAAAGGAAAGATTAATTATAAGTATCTTTACAAAAGAGAGACTTAAGCCTTGTCTCTTGTACATGATATGTCTATACAATGTTCACAGAGATTCACACACTTGACACAGGAAGTGAGTACCAAAGTAGAGTGTAAACATCAACCACAAGGTTTTTAAACAATTTTAAACTCATTAACAAAGTTTCATCTTTATTTAAGACAATATTATAAAATAAATATAATATTTAACCTCTCAAATGGTTATACCATAGCAATACCATGAACAGTTAAAGTATCAAAATACAGAATACATACATTTTTAAGGGAGCTATCTATTAAACACATACACATGTATATACATAAACACATAACCAAAGATATACCCATACACACAAAATCACAGATATACACACACACACACAGACATACTCTCAATCACAGATATACACACACATACACACACACACAGTCACATACATACACAGACACAATCACAGACCCACACATACAATCACAAACACACAAAATCACAAACACAATCACATGCATACACACAATCACAGTTATACACAGACATACACACAAACACACATAATCACAGACCCACACACGCACACATACAATCACAGACCTATACAAACAATCTCAGACATACATACACATAATCACAGACATAAACACAATCACAAACCCACACACATACAATCACAGACACAATATCACATACACACATAATCACTTAATCACTGAAAACTCACATTCATACACACACACACACACACATTTAGTAATTAATGCTCTGGAAGGGCTGGAGTGGATTTTCTCCCTGGTGGCCACTGATTTCTTGCTGTGATAGGATCACTGTGCTCTTTCTGCACAGGTCCCACGCATGCACAGCATGGGATGATGTCATATTACAGCTGCCAGCTCACTGTAGGGCGCATGAAGGATCTGTGCAAAAAGAGCACTGTAAGTAATGTGTCATGACATCCCCACCTCTATATAGCAGGAGTTCTCAAGTTTTGCCTTGGTTTCAAACCCCAGGTGTTTCTGAAGCCTAGCAATGTCCACGGACAATGTCCTTTTTGGGAACAAAATGGAGCCCTATAATTATTGAGATCTGGTGCACTGAAGAAATTATAGTAAAAATAAATAATGAAAAGTGATAAGTGACAGAGTATAATTATTATGATAAAAAGGTGCATAAGGAAAGGAAATCAGAGGGGAAAAAAATCCAAGTTCCCTTTTGGCTCAGAAACAACGACATTATTTTAAGATTCAAAGTTCACTACCACTTAAACCTTTCTAATAGTTTTGTAAGCAGAGTTCAAATGATAAAACAAAGCAGTAAATGTCATAAGCTATCACAACAATACATCAAAGTGTGAACAAGGATTAACTCAGCCTTCAGCAAAGTAAGGTTAAAATCTCACCATATTATAGGCATATCTTTTTGAAATGATAATTACTTTCTACCTGAGCTGGAAAGACAATTAAGATAATGATGTGTTATTTTTTTTTTAAAGCTGTAGTATTTTCATCCTGTTAATTATCCCAAAGACAGAGATTGCGTATGATAACGTTACACACATGCACACAGTTTGTGCTTAGCTAAGTGGCTGTGCTTATCCCTTAATTAGATTTTCTGTATGTGATTTGCATTGTGGTCCTTATAGTTTATAAGATGATGGCTAGAAGTGAGGAGAAGAAAATGGCATTTTTGTTTTAGTTATCCTTGTTACATCGTCAACCTTGATATAGAACAAGGTGACCCTGTTCTCATGTGTGGTGTGTTCCAGTTTTAATTTTTCTGAGATACTTTCACACCCAGCACAGCATTTAACATCTGTCACCAGACAGCTATTTACGAATTACTTCTGAGTAATTGGATTTTTCCTCTTCCATCTCTGATTCTTGTTTGTAGTCAAGGTTCAGTGGTCTGGAGACCACCACATATTGTAGATAGATTGTTGACTGTTATTCTTCCTAGTGGTTGTTGCAACTTTTTTCAATATGTCATATTATATCTTGAATGGCCATTCAGTTTCCATAACCCACAATGGAAAAATATCCTTAGCATAGAATTTGCTAGGGTAAGTTAAGGTAAAGTTGAAAAAAAATATTATATGAAAATACCTTTAATATACATATTTCTATTGCTTTAAAAAAAATGTATGAGGTCAAGCAATGGTGGGGTCATGCACAGCATTCTTCTATTACTAAAATACATATTTGCAATAATTATTAATTATGTATGTTTCTATTAATTTATTTTGTTTTAGATTACCATCAATTTCTACACAGCAGGGCAATATGAATATAATGATTTAAAACAACAACAAAAAACTGTTTAGCAGACAGAAAAAGACTGACAAGGTTTTTGGCAGGCTTTTCTGGAAGCTTACATGTAGAAGATAAGATGGGTAAAGTGAAAAATAAGGAACGTACAAGGGAAGCAGCTGGCAAAAACAAAAATGTGCTGGCTAACTTATGGATTGCAATGAAGTTAAAGGAACATTTTAGCATTAGGAACACAAATATATATTCCTTATTCTTTAGTTCCCTAGTCACAGTTTAAGTGACCAGGTCAATGCTGCCAGGGTTAAAAAAGCCTCACAGTGACTGTGTCCTCCATGTAGTTCTGCTGCTTTGATTGAGATCATTAATGTAGATGATCTCAGCCAATCCAATGCTTTCCCGTAGGAAATGCCATACAGAACCAATCAGATGGTCTCCCACGACAGTTTCACTAGAATAGTCACTATTACTCTACTATATCACGGAAATGCCTATCATCGATGTCATATTGAGACTGTTCCTGTCAGGATATCAGGAATAGAAGAATGACTATTAGTGAGAATATTTAAAGACATGACGTTCTAGGTAAAATTGTGAAAGTTAGTTGTAGATTACATTAAAGGAATTTCTGGGATGTTTTCTATCTTGAGAAAATCTTGTAATCAGGAGAGAGAACATTTAATGGGGCCCACGTGGAAAGTCCATGGTCATTAGAAAAGAGAATGGACTGAGTAGAATCTTAAACAAAAATAAGGGACAAAAATACAAGAGAGAGCAGAGTTGTGGAGCACTTTATGAGGGTAATTCAATTTAGCTAAACATTTATCTGAAATAAATGTGTTTACTTGTTTGTATAGCAAATAAAACAAGGAAAAATTATTGCAGGTTTTATAGGGTGGAGTTATCAACATATTATTCAAAATGCAGCAAGTTTGACAGCTGACTCTCCTTAAATTCTTAAAAATATGAGACTAATTAATAATTGACTAATTCTGATCAATAAAAAAGAACAGAATTATCAACTACAACAAATGAACACCATAGTATAATACTACTACTACTCAATAGCCTTGTGCAGGACGAAAAATGTTTCTTCCGAAATTAGTTGAGATCACTGTTCATCTTGGCTAATTTTGTTAATGAAAAAAAAATGGGAAAGCCATTCAGATAGCTAGAACAGCAGGAAAAAATAATGGCCCCTTTAACAGTGCTGTCATGCAAAAATGGCTACAATATTACCTAGCCTAATAGACATTTTATAATGCTAATTCTTTGCCAAAAATGGGAAACAGGAGTAATGTAAAGATAAAAATAATGAGATTTATACATGTATCCATTACACAACTGACCACCCTTCCTGACCACCCAGTCTGCAGCATCAGTGATGTCCTTAAATATGTCAGCTTCTCCCAACAGCGTCTGTGGGGGAGCAGGCACCACAAGTTTCAGGGTTAAACTACTGCAATGCAAATTTTACTTTTGTTATTAAACCATAAAATCTAAATATATATAAAAATTAAGAATGTATTTGTCACAAATTAGTTTGCACTTAGCACTTACAATGCAAAGCTTAAACTTAATTTTCCTGTAGAAAAAAAATTAAACAGATGGCAGTCTTAATGATGAACAGGAAAGCTGATTCATTCCATAAGATAAGGTGAGTATGGGTTCTCACAGAGGAGAAACTTAACTCCAGGTTCATAACATCATGAGTTACATAGTAAGTTAATGAGAAAACAGGGGGCTGGCTGCACTCACCTGAACATGCATAAATAGGGTGCTGCTGGGAGCCAATTTATACAATAACAAAAGAAAATTCAGCACACTCCCTTATCCACTAAACAGCAACTTCGATGCTGACAGATTGTTAGTTTTTTAAAAATACCTAACCTAGGCAAAAAAAGAATGGGGGTTTAGTTACATTATATGATCATACATTGCATAAGCCTGCAACAATGTCCATGTACCCCATCTTTGTCAGGTCCTACTCTAGTAGCGTAATGTCTGCTTCATGAGCTACTTACTTGGGGAAAAAATTCCATCTGGAGTTCTCTGCAGTACAGGGTCCTGGGATGAGGCACCTGTGACAGGGAGGGGTGCAAAACCAAGGAGTTGGCTAGGCTCTCAAATATCAGGACCCTTTCTCTACCCTCCCTCAATTTCAGCCTGAGATTAGTACAGGACTGATATTGGTGGCTTTGTTTTTCTTACTGCAATACATTTTGGATATGAATGATTGTGCATTGTGTAAACTAGCACAATTTTATTAAGCATAAATAGGTGTTTGTGTTGCAAAATGGGCTGGTGCTTGGTGGAATTAGTACTGTAACGTCATTGTGCTAGTGTGTTCGGTTGTACTTTACATTGTTTGCACAATGGACTAAACACATTCAGGAAAATTAAATTAAAACATGATTTCTTTCTCCATATAATAAAAAAAAAAAACTATTGGTAAACTAGTTTCACACTAGGAACAATGACAAAATGTCAATCTCCTATCACACACTCAAAGTTGTTTGCAAGTACTCCTGGCAGTTGCTTATAGTTGGATACAGCTGCAAGGGCAAATATATATATATACCACACATCCCAAAAGGTTTTTCACCAAAACGTTAAAACTAAATAAATTAATAAATTAACAAGTAGAGGGGGTGTGGCCTGGCAGGCAATGTGAGCGGTCGCACTACAAGAGAGCTCCCGGTTCACGGATAAATATGTTAGCCCATTACAGTGACACACTAACCATGGGTAACAAGAAAAAGCTTACCCTGTCTCAGGAACAGGTGCGAGAGCTAGACAAATACTTCAGGGAGAAGTCGAAAGGACTGACTATGGATGCGGAGGACGACCCAACGCCATCTGAGATTAAGGACCTCCTGCAGAACTAACCCTCTAAAGAGGACATGGCTTCCATGCTGGCTAGGCTGGAAGCATCCTTCCAAGAAAAGTTTTTAGCACTGGCAGGAGATGTCAGACACGTGAGGCAGAGAGTGGGGGATCTGGAGGGCTGGAGAGGGACAGAGATTACATTTTTTACTCAGTGCAAACAATTGATGGGTGACAAGAGAACATGGAAAACAACATACTGCAAATGGCTAGGTGGATGGATGACCTGGACAATAGAGGCAGGAGAAACAGCCTACACATACGAGGGCTGCCTGAGCCACAAGAAGGCACTTAAGATCTCACAGCAAAACTCCAACATCTGTTTAATACTGTGCTGCAAAGACCTAAAGACACCCCTATTTTGTTTAACTGTGCACACAGAGCGCTGAGGTCCAAAGGCATCCCACCAACCATGCCACAAGATATAATATGCAGGATACACTACGATCATCTGAAAGACAACATTATGCGAAAAGCTAAGGTGACCGAGAACTTAACCTTTGACAACACACCAGTCCAGATCTACCAAGACCTGTCCTGGACTACCTTACAGGGACGGAGGGGGCTACGGCCACTGACGTCAATACTTCAAGAACGCCAGATAAGATATTGCTGGGGATATCCTTTCTCCCTGAACTTCACTTGCGAGGGGAGACCGTACTCAATTACAACCACAGCAGAAGTACGCAGACTAACGCAAAAAAATGGATCTTCCAAATTTGGACATCCCAGACTGGTACAACCAGAAACTACAGGACACGGCCACAGCTTCAATGTCTCAGAGGCCTCACTGGAAGATCACTGGGAGTCAAAAGAGACCCCCACCCAGACAACCTATGTCTCTGCCACAGTCCAGATCCCGACACGATGCTCCTGCTACCTGAGCTCTGTAGACCAGGTTGCATGACTACCTGCTTTACGGCTAGTAGGTAAAAGGTACACACACCACCCTAACAGTGTTAAAACTTTTTTCACGAGACCCACACCCATGACCGCAGGTGACCGGCAATGAACGTTCACCCCATCTGGGTACCAGCTATGTATATGCTGAAAGGTAAATCTGCTAATCTGGTGACTCGGTCCCTCTGGTCACTATTCTCCAATCCTCGATTGTCAGCTGAATATTCAGGGAAGATTTTTATGGAAGCGTATTAACCAGACACACACTCTTTGCTTTCCATAATCTTCTGACAAATGTATTCAAAATGCTCTGTACTTATACAATATTTGGAACGAACATTGGTTACAGAAAGTTACACAAGATACATAAAAGAGGAAGTAGTTTCTGCTGTTACATTCAATAATCTAATCTTACAAAATATCACATATACATTGTGGTTAGGCATTTCCTGATACATAGAAACTGTCATAGCTTGTGACTTCCTTTCAGTTATGTTTTGCAAGCAGTTCTGAAAAGAGCTTGCTACTACATTTACAAAATAATTCATTTCTACAATACTAACAGATTAACTGTCTCAATTCCTTCATTTTCCCCTCTTTGAGCAATATCTTGCTCATACCCTATTTAAGGAGTCCTGGTCAGACAACCAGCCATCTGCCATGGTATATTCAGGATTGCTAGCCAATCCTGCAGGTCTTTCATTATGTCTTCGGCCACTATTCCCATAGCATAGGACTAGGCATCTGACCAGTACCACAAACTTATAGATCTGTATCAGCATGTTCATCATTGCTTCGGTTATGTGTATACATTTGGAGATACTCATCATAGCAAGCTGGGGATTTTACATGAACAGTGTTGCGTGTATGTTTGTAAATGCAGAATACAATAATCTTGAAAATAGCATAAACAAGTAGAGCAAGGATCAGAACCATAACAATAAGTATTGCAATATTCTTTAGCCAGTCTAGGATACTGTCAAACTTAAACATATCTGCCCATGGGTGATCAATACCTGAATTCCTCTTCATTTCTATGGACAGGTCTTCCAATTTCTTTATAGCTAGGGTTACTTTACCATTAGGGCCAGTGTTCTCTGGAATATAAGTACAACAAACACCGGAGTCAAGTAATTTACAGACTCCTCCCTTTTCTGCTAAAACCATATCAAGGGCCATTCTATTCTGGAAAGTCATTTGTGAGGTAGCCTGTAATTGTTCAGCAAGACCTTGTAATGCATCTCGTGTATAATTTACAAATCTTTGCTGATATAATATATATAATTAATCCAGTTAACATTCTTGTTAGCTGTTATAATGGGAAATATTGATTCAAATCCTGCTGCCACCTCGTCTCTAGTCCATTCCAGCCATAGGTTTGTATCTGTATACCCTGTTTCTAATGCTATGGTATCTCCAAACGTGGGATCTGCTATGGCCATCATATCACCAAGGGTTTGAATGTGGGGCTTTAGAGGATTAACAAGAGTTTGTCTAGAGGTGAGGCTTTCCCATTTTGAGGAGTTCCATATCTTATAACCCCAATCTGTCCCGGTGTTCCATCCAACTGAGCCCCAATACACAATTGTTACCCCTCTTTGAGCAATATATATTGCTCATATCATCGGTTAACATTCTCCCAAGACAGAGAAATTTCCACATTATGGGATTCCCAAGCAATCATGTGGTCTACAAGAAACAGAAACTCAGCAGAAAAAAACAAAACAAGAAACACTTAATACTTTTGCAGACAGATATATAGAAAATGGATGTTTAAAACAGAATGGAACTTGGGCTTATAGCAACCATATTATTGCACAACCAGGACCTAGCGTCCTATATCTTTTAACCATTTCCCTATTCCAAAAGTCCAGTCAAAACCAGTCATATCCTCACGCAGTTCCTCAAAACATGGGAATCCATCCTTGGCACACTCAACATATATCAAAAACACACATTGTACATCCATCCCTGGGTCAGCTAACACTTCCTCTCTCTCTGGCTAACTCTACAAAAATAAAAATAAAAATAGTTCAATAGTTCAGCATAGTTCAGAAAAATAGAATAAGTCTTTCACAGAGTATAAAGAAATCAGTTTAGACACCAGACATTTTGTTCCATAAGGGTAGCAATATGGCTGACAACAAGACAATGTTAGCTTCCACATAGTTCTTCTTTTGTTTGCTGGATTTTCACCACAAAGCTCTGTGCAACACCCCAATGGTTGAAAGGGTTATTACAGAACCAGCGGTATTAGACAGCACTGCACCTTCAGGACTTTCCAGGTTCTTGCGTGCAAAGTTTATGTCCTCATAAATAAGTATCTCAGTTTCTTCGGCCTGCATGGATAATGACCAAACAGATGTAATTGCAAAATACTTATTGCATGGTCAGCCAGAGAGATTGGTGTATAGTCCCAGAAATCAGGCGGCACAAACACTCCAGGACGGTCTCTACAATCATACAAACACAAGGATCAATACAACATCATTAATTAATTACCTAGGCTAAAACTTAAATTAGAGATTAAGGTTAAACCCTTAATTTGTGTAACATGTACTTCTCTTATATTTGCTTATATTTTATGCAATCTGTCTTCTATGAAGTTTTACATAATACCCCTTTGGAATGCCTTTGTACTGATGAGAGTAGCACTCACTCTATAGAAATCCTTGTTAGGATGAATATTAAAACACTAACATATACATATGGGGATAATTCCCAATAAAACTCTGTTCCTAAACTGGAACCTTGATTTGATATTCAAAATTAATTACTTTAATAATCCCGAATAATTCAATACTCTTGGATTAACACCTAAAACTATATAAAATATTACAAACCTGAACCATCTGTGTATTAGGCTGCGGTTGTTGGGTGTGGGTATAGGTTGGAAGCTATGGTTGGTATTGAGGAATCTGTGGGGGTGGGTTTGGGCACTCATTTTTTCAGTGACCCTGCTATCCACAATTAGAACAGTGTGTTCCACCAATGCTGAAGTTGTTACCTCTACAAACGTTAGACCCTTTGACCAAATCCTCTACCTCTGCCTTTATTCCATATGCAGGGTGGGATTACCTAACTCACACCCCCCTCTTTGTGTACCACACAGATATAATATTAATAAGCTTTTAAAGGTTGAATGGATAGTTACATTTTGTATATAAAGCAAGGTTGTCTAGGGGTATATACATCGACAATGAAAGCATAGCCTTCATATAGGGCTTGCGGTATTGCAAGCCCTATATGAAGGCTATGCTTTCATGACAGTCTGTGTCATGCGCGTAATGCAGACATGCGGTTAGGTACTTTTCCATTATTATAATATATTGAAAACACTAAGACCTTGCAAATTTTTAAAACGCATATTGCTTCCTGTACCTGGTGCCGTGCAAGGATGTAGTTGGGACATATTTCAAATTGAGTATCAAAAGTCTAACCACAAAACTAAATGTTATACGCTTATCAAGAAAACAAGTTTAACCCGTTAGTGCATACTTTGGATAGCCTCTTTGCATAATTTGGCACCTAGTGAGATTATTATATTATTTATTAATCCTCTTCTGGATCTGCAAAATGCTTTCAATTTACCCATACAAATATAATACAGTAGTTTAGGAGATTAAAATTACCTCACTTATAAATTTCAGAAATTGTCTAATCTCTATTAAAAATACCATGTTATTATTACCCCATAATCAATGAGGCATACTAGATGAATCTTACTTTGACACAAACAATGCAATATACTTTAAAAGTAGAGTTAACTTTGAGCTGGACAATACTCCCCTATTAGAACTCCTTTATGAGGGAGAGACATCTTGTCCATTCAATCCTTTTTATCAGTAAAAGAATGACTTTCAGGATTAATCAATTTGCAAATGGAAACGTGGACCCACGATTTGAACAGCAGAAGTTTGCGGGGCCCTTTTCACGTGGGATGTAACAAGCGCTTTTCTTGCTCCAAGAGCGATAGCATACAATTGTTTCATTCAAGCCGGCTGGACAGCATTTCACCTTTTGTAAAAACACTAAATGCTTGCGTTAATGATATGCAAATCACTCAGCTAGTTAAACTCCTACACAATGGATAATAAAATACATAAAACAAATAACACACCAATTTATTTCAAACCATATAACTCATACTCAGCATTCAATGTAATATTACATGTCATCTCACAAAACAGACATCCCACAAAACAGACGTATCAGAAAACACATAATGGATACCCAGCAGATATGCCAATACAGAAAACACATTCTTGGGCACGCAACTACACACTCTGTGTCTCTCTTAGGAAACACGGGTAGACACAATATGAAAGCAGTCTTAAACTAACACCTCCAAATTTCCATTCCCATATAGCTATATCAGAACACAACACAGAGCCTGATAGAACTACTCCAACTACTCTTGGCCAAAACACTAGTATTCAACAGCTAATAAAACAGTTATTTGCTAGGTTATTTGACTGGCATTTTTATCAGTATCACTAGACTGAGACAAACTGATTCAAATATAATTTAAAACAACACAGCAACATATAAATTAAACCACTTTCCAGTTAAGCTGCACACTTCACACATTATCACAGTCACCATTTACACAGAATAAACAGTTAACAGCTGTACTCAGAACATATTATTGTAAGGTATACCAATTTTAGTTTGTATTAGATTTATTTTAGGGATTCTTATGTATATACTTTTTATTTATTTATTTATTTTAATTCTTATTAACTTCATTACTTTAATCTACTATAGTATTGTATATAGAGAAAGGATCCATTTATATAGCGCGCTCATAACTCAAATATTTGTATGAAACTTCCATTAACTAACCTGAGATGATACTGCATCAACTTAAATCTTATAGAAATTGAGCAAACATTTGGA